TGATCATGGCTGGCACCAACACTTGCATTCATCCCACCAAAATTTTTCGTTCCTAGAAAACAGGAACTTGAGCTGAGTGTAGGGAATGTTTTTGGGAAATGTCTGCATCAAAGATGTAGCCTCCTTTCTCTTCAGTACCATTCTGCTTCCCAAAGAGTTCATGTCTGCAGCTGTGGATGCATGGAGAGTATCTCACAGCTGTCCCCAAGGGAAGTGACTAATGATCATAACCTGCAGTGTGCAAGTTTTACCAGTAGCTTTAACATGAAATGGCGTGTTAAAGCTTCAGGTTAACTTCAGGCTCAAGACAGCTTTACTGCAGTGGTAAATAAGGACACTCATCTTAAAATTTAATTTCACAAAACATTGCTTAATGTGCTGATAGAAGAGTACCACAAAAAAAACAGTAGATAAGTATGCATATACACCAGAGTCAATCATGTCAATGTGATTCCAGATCATTTCAATGTTGCCTACTTTCACTCTGTGTAAAATACTGGAAGGTGCTTCCACAATATCACAAATGCTCTCAGCTTGTCTTAGAAAGCATTACTTAGACAAGACCACCAAGCAAGAGAAAAGACAGACATGATGCCCAGTCATTTGCTTTCTGCACATTCAGTCCCTTCTTTACAGTGTTGTGATGCAGGGACAAGGGAAGAGATAGTTTGTGCTGCTATGATTCTGTGGTACTCCCAGTGGCTACTGCAAAATAAGGTACACAAATGGAAATTACTAACACTCCCAGTGCTAGTCTAACAGTAGACAATGGCCAAATTGGCCTGAGACAGCCTGCATCAAGACTTGAATGAAGATAAATTATGAAATGCTCCTACACATTGTTTCTTCTTTTTAGATATTCCTAATTTAATTTTATTGCTAACTGGCAAATTTGGGCTTCTCAGACAAAAACTTGTGGAACTAACCCACGTCAATACTTCCTTGTAGTCTTCATTAGAAAGAGAAGACACTGATGGACGAGCATCTTGTCACAGAATATATTTCCTGCTCAGAGACAAAGGGCAAGGAAATGTTGCACTGTAAATAAAAAGCACAACGTGTCAGAAACAACAACATTGACTGGAAATCTTTCAAGGATTTGCCCAACGCTATTGTTCTACCAAAATTCTTCTCTTCAAAGAAGAGGCATTCATAGAGGCATTCATAGAGCTATAAGTGCTCTAGTGCCTCTCCAGATCATGCAAGGATACCCTCCAAATCCTCACAAAGCATCCCCAAACAGTGTCACAATTATAGCATCCATGTGCATCACAAGACTCACGTTTATATCCTCACATAAATAATTATTTGAACACAGTGGAACATTTCTGTTGGGAAACTGTTTGATTGCAGAGTAAATACCACTATCCTTCCCTGCATCGGTGTATTACCCTACTGCCAGGTGTCTCCCACCAGGCTAGAATGGCTTACTCAGATAGACAAAAGGTTAGTTAGCTCTTTCATTTTGATCTCACACCTCCTGCATATGAACAAGAGCCAATTCAGGCACCTAACTTTCCTTTTTGCAGCTGAATTAAGATGGTAATTGCCTTTTGTAATGGTTGATATTGGTTAGAGGGAAAAATAAACTAAAAAAAATAAAAATTAAATTAAATTAAAAAATCTTCCAACAAAGACAAAGGCAAAACAATCTTCTTAATAATCACCAACTAAGACATTTTATCCATTAGATCCATTAATCTTGGTCAGATTTGGATTAGACAAAAATCTCTAAAAGCCAATAATTAACCAACAGATTGCTTTAATTTACCCAAAATGTATTTAAACTAAATAAAATTCCTTCCTGAGGGAAATTTCACTTTTTGAAATCAGCAAATCGATGTCTGACTCTATACCTATGATAAAATAGTTTAGATTTTATTTGGTGAAATCTGTATCTAAATTGCTTCTTATTAATATCTGTGAGATTCTTTTGTCATACATACATACATTCCGCTGAGAGAAATGCTTCCCAAGTCACAAAATACTTTAACTCAGAACATGTTAATAATTGTGTACATTGGACAGAAGAGTAATTGAACCAGCTAGCAATTCTTATAAGTATGTATTTTGGAAACTTAATGGTACTATTTTGCTTTTTATAATTTATAGGTTACACCAATTAAAATATAATAAGCAACTACAGCTGGATATATTTCAGTACATTAAGGATCTTCACATCAGTTCATTTCTATTGGTTCTAAAATATTCTAAATGGCTGTACTACTTTAAAGTAATTTGCAATAGAAAGCAGTAAATAGGTAGCTAAATTCAATTAAATGATTGGTGTCTACTGCATGCAAAAACAAGTAATTTATGCATAATGTTTTGTGTTTTCTCCTCTCTATCTCTGAAGAGCATGTGTGTTGTTCTCCTGAGATATGTAAATTATTGTATCCATCTGGTTTATTACCTTCAGGGACTACTTGAAATTTTAGTTTATTAAAACAGGTATGAATAAAAATAAAACAGTTTACTGCAAAGCCTTTCTGTGAAAGTGTGAGCATCTAGGTAACCCCTCTTTCAGCATCCAGACAGCCATAAATGAATTGATGCAATGCAAACATTGCAAAAACAGCATGGGGATGGAGACACCGCTATAACCTCTTTTTGTAGTGATAAATAATATGGGGGGAAGGAGGGAGGTAGAAGAAAAATAAAAAAAAAAGTGACCTATTGGCAAATACATCAGCCTTTCAAGAAATCTGTTTGAAGCACTGAACACAAAATCTTCTTTATTTTAGGTCAGATAATAGGTTGGGGAAATATTAACTCACTAACTCCTGAGATTCTGAATTTCATATTTTGGTGAAGGGCTAATGGTTTCTACAGTAATTGGTTAACGGCTGCTTGAGTATTGGTTTTAATCCAGTTTAGCTGAGGGCATTTTAAAGAAAAATTCTAGGAACCAGGAGGAGGCTGTGGCAACCTGTGGTCCCAAGCTAGCCTCTTGGGAAGTTCAGTCATTCATTTCTCATTTAATCAGGCAATTTTAAATCCTGCTGGCTAGCCAGTATGGATTAAAAGCTGATATATGAAAACAGAGTTTGTCAAACAGAAAGTCCGATTTCTCAGAGACTTCTCTTCAAAGTTTATGGCTTCGTTTTTCATATGAGTTCCATATGAAAATATTAAAAAATTGTTTTGGACATATTTATAGAACAACAGAAATGTTGGTGATTCTCACTTTGGCTTTAAAAAAGTATAGAATATTCAAAATGTAAATGGTATTAGTAAATACACGTACCAAAACCATGAAGACTGTGTAGCTGATCAATGACTTTGTTTTTGTTATTGTTTCATTGCTGTTTAAATATTGATTACTCTGACATATAAACAAATTTGACTTTCTGTCTCAGCCTTGGCATGAGCTAGGGAAGTACTAAGGACCTTACAACACAGAAATTAGTGTACTGAAAAGTGATGCATAGTTGTAAACTGAAACTTTTCTACCTATATTAGGTATAGGTATAGATACAGTTGTATACCTCTACAGCTGTTGCTGAAAGACAGTCCTTCTGTACTATGGGAGCTCAGTGATAAGATGTAGAAGACAATTAAAGCTGCTCTGGACTACAGAGAAGTTTGCTGTATTGGAGTTGGGACAAAATGCTTATAATATGAATATTTTTGTGGGCTCACTCCAAACTAATAAAATCTGTCTCCTACAAAGAGTATTTATTTATTTAATACACTTGGATCCTATGTTACCCTTCTTTTTTATATATTCTGTGCTGTGTCAGATCTTCTTTTCTGAAGGACAGGCAGTGTAAAAATAGCCAGAGAACTGAAGCACAGTCTCAGCTATGTCCATGCAAAAGGCAACATATCTTTTAAGCCAATTCAATCTACAGCAGAAGGGCAGTTGAATTATTTGCGTTCATATTGAAATGGGTGTTTTTGGAACAAAATGAGACATTTTTGTGAAAATTAAGATCATGTAGGAAGTTAAGGCATCTTGGGCCTTTCTCATGCTCTGAATGTGCATATGGGTCTTGTTTTTCCTGTTTCTTTATAGATGCATCCATAGTCTTGCACATGTAGTTTTTAATCTCTGGCCACGTGGCTTGGAGATGGTCACAGGGCAGGAACACAACTCCCTCCTTGTACACACATCAAGATTTTTTTCCAGGAAAAATAAGAACACACAAGGAGATGTCATGAGCACAAGAAATGGGAAATGAGAGCAGATATTTTCACAAAAGGAAAGCAGAGCTCACATTTAGCTGGACTTGCTTTGAGCAGGATTTAGGATCAAAGTACAGCAGTCCTTATCCACTGAAGCTATCCTGTGGTTCTGTGGCTATTAGACAGTCGTCCAATATTGTTACAAAGACGACTGAACATAAATAGAATAATAGTGTTCCTTGCTTGTGCGAAGAATACAAAGAAAAGCAGGCATACTTAAGCAGATCCATTAATGTCTGAACTCCATTTGAGTTCAGACATTAGTACTCCATTTGAGTTCAGACATTAGTCACTCCATTCCAAAAGTGGCAATCCAAATAATTCTGTGGCACCTAGCTGCCATAATATTTCCTGCACAATTGTCAAATTCTTCTCTAAGTTATGCAGGTGCTTTGGTGATGTTACTCTGGTACTTTGACATATTAATGCAGCATCACTAATTTATCCCCTTCTGTTGTTGCTGTTGTTGTTTTGTTGTTGTTGTTGGGTTTTGTGTGATTTTGTTGTTGTTGTTTGTTTGTTTGTTTATTTTGATTGGAGTTCCTTACCATCCTGGAGGGACAATGTACTGTTCCTGTTCACAAAAGTCCCTGGAAGGCACTTAGAAATACAGCCATCCTGCAGCATGAAACACCAGGGAGAAACAGGCTGTTACAGCCACACAGTTCTGCTGAGCCAAGTGCAAAATAGAGCCCTAAAATCTTTCAGGTAAAGTTTTTAAAAATTTCAAAGCATCTTAAATTGCTGTTTAAATATATTCAATATCAAACCTCTTGCAAAGCAACTATTAACCCCGTAGATATATTAATAAGCTTATAAGCATATTACAAAACAGATAATTGACACAGCACAGCTGGTTTCAAAGAAAAAAAAATACTAATAATAAACAACATAATGACTTTTTATGCTTTGTGGTCAGAAAGACTAGGAAGAGACAACAGTGTTTTTTTTTGTTGTTGTTGTTGTTTTTATCCAAAATAAGCCAATGTGCAAAATAAGGTATGGTTCAATAAGTGTGTTTATAAAAACATAGTATTAGATCTTTTTTGATATTGTGTAAGGATGAAACTCTGAAACAGATGAACTCTTTGGTCCACCTGTCCTTTCAGAAGGCTTTTCTAGAGCTCCACTCTGGAGCTTCCAATGGTTGGAAACTCCTCCTCAGTTCATTATAGAAGAGCAGAAGTTTTTTCAAACTATTTTCACAAGCAATCTGCTGCACTGCAGAATAAACCTTCACCTGCGAAGTCTCTTGGTATGTGAGGAATTTCTGTTCAAAGCTCAAATCCACTTGTTCTAAATAAGGGTTATGAACTCATGTCTATAGTTCAGCTAGTGAGACAGTGAGAGTGGGAAGTCAGGCAAATATACCTCTGGTCCAATGTCATATACAATGAAAAAGAAAAAAATAAAATCCAGGGTCAGCAATGTGGAATGTTCAGGATCTTGCCTTTAAAGTGGAGAGCAATTGAACCTGGAACTCCATTTCCCAGATGTGTAGGTCCTTCTCATGCCAGCCAGCAGGCATCAGGGTCTTGCAGGGAATTCCACCACTTCACCCTAGAAGGAAGGAAAAAAGGTGGCACTTTGAAGACTTCATGCTGAAAAATTTTCCTATAACTAACTTTAAGGAGGATAGGAACTTCCACAGGCTTTTTATCTCTTCTCTGACTCATTTTTGGCCTTGATATTTCTATGTTCTTGTCTCTCCTTCCTCCAGCTCTAAAATGATAACATTAATCCTTCCTGACTTCTGGTGCCTGCAGTGAGAACTAGGTTCACCTGTTCTAGCCTATAGAGCTTCCCAGGGCAACCAAGACAAGATGCAGTTTTTCTTTTTGTGGCAGCAAGGTTAAGCACAGCCACAGCAGAAGAGAATGAAGTGCATTTATATTACAGGAAGAAAGGCTAGAGGAAGGAGGGAAGGAAAAAAAACATCTTGTGTATCCCACTGAGCCCTGACTGGAAGAAGCTTCTGCTGGTACAGCTCAAATGTGGGCATTTTTTTCTCTGACTAGCCCTGACTAAAGAGGATAGACATGGAGAACTTTCTTTCACTGTAGTTTCTTGCCAAATGGACTCTCTTACACTGAAGTTCCAGTTCTTATCATTGGCCACTGCAGTTATTTTTCTGCCTTGTGACAGACACCGTCAATGATGTAAATGACAATCACTCTTACACGTTCTATTAAACACAGCATCAGCTGGTGCATGTCTTAAACAACTGTACATTGTTTACAAAATATATAAAACACATCTGGAGTGATTTAGCATGGCTGATTGGCTTAACCACATTTACACCATGGTTTTATTGGTTTATTCTTTGAAGATCGTTCTCTGTGGTAGACTTGCGATACCATTCAAAAGAAAGAGACAAAAACACTTTTGGTCTGAATACCATCAACAAGTGCACCTTTGGAACTTTCCAGAAACCCTGCAGTGGGATCTCCCATATACTAATCAGACAAGAGCTAACAAGACCATGGTGTTCACTTCTCCGTCCTCTCATATATAGCAGATACAGTGAGCTTACTTGGGAGCATGATTATTCAATATTTTGTAGAATACATAACATCTTTTTCAGCAGGCTGTCACCTTAGAAGATAAGGGAATTAACTTTGTTCTGAGTTTATACCAGTCTTTTACTCTATACAAGTCTTCTATTCTCTTTCCCACAGTAACAGAGCTGCCAGTTGCACCTTTACATTACCTTTAGGGACTAGAAAACGAGTTATGAGGAACAGCTGAGGGAACTGGGGTTGTTTAGTCTAGAAAAAAGGAGACTGAGGGGAGAACTCATCACTTTCTACAACTTTGTGAAAGGAGGTTTAAGCAAGATGTGTGCTGGTTTCTTTTCTCAGTTGACAAGTGATAGGACATGAGGAAACAACCTCAGGTTGCATCAGGAGAGGTTTAGATTGGGTATCAGACATATTTTATTCATGGAAAGGGGGATTAGATATTGGAACAGGCTGCCCAGAGAAGCGATGGAATCCTCATCCCTGAAGGTATTTAAAAGATGTGTGGATGCAGGGCCCTGGTTTAGTGACGGACTTTGTAGGTTAGGTTGATGGTTGGACTTGATGTTCACAAGGGTCTTTTCAAACTTAAAATGTTCTATATTTCTATGATTTTATTATGCCTCCTTGTCCCATTCATACTGCCTCATTAGTGATGAATACATACACACACACACATATATATATATACATATATATTATTTTTCCTGGAGCAGAAGGGAATTGATTTCAAAAAGAAATATCAAATTAAGGCACAAAAAGTTTGTGTGGTATTGTTTCACATAGGATGTGCCTAGCAATAGTTCATTTCTTCTATTTCTATGTTTTATCTTCCTCAGTACTTTCTTTTTTAGTCAGTCACCACCCCACATATACATACATTTGAATACACATACATCTTGCTTTACAACAGAGTTTTCTCTGCTTGTTTGAATCATATCCAGCACGTTTGTCTTTTACCATAATCTATGGGGAAAAATAGCAGCAGTAGCACCTGGATCTTCTGTAGTAATCTAAACCCCTTACCACCATTCTCCCACACATCATTTGCACATCACCATTTCTGATTACAAACATACAGGTCCTATTCTGCAAAACAGTATATTTCTATCCATTCTTTAGAGAAATGTAAAGAGAAATTCCTCATCCTAACCAATATCTTTCCATAAAAGCATTGCTCCCAAATACCAATATGCCTCAAAATAATCAGATTGCTGAAGCAAAATAACCTGACGTGTATAGGGGCCACAGGTGAGATTCTCTACTTTACTTAATACCACAAAGCCACAAAACACACATTACAAATTCTGCAAGACAGGCCTTCATCTGCAAGGCAGAGATTTTGATTAACTTCCCACAGTCAGAAAATGTTTATTTATTAGTCTGTTCACTTCGGAAGGATCAATATTTTTTACTGGATAACCTAGTTATTGAATCATAAAACCTACGCTGATCCCCTGATTTCAGGAGTCTGAAGAAACTCAAAGTCTCTTGACTTCTGATTCAGTATCTTCCGCAACTGAATGAACCACTAGATTAACTGAATGAACCACTAGGTTAAGATGGTGAAAGGCCTGGAGGGGAAGACGTACGAGGAACGGCTGAGGGCACTGGGCCTGTTCAGCCTGGAGAAGAGGAGGCTGAGGGGAGACCTCATCGCAGTCTACAACTTCCTCGTAAGGGGGTGTCGAGAGGCAGGAGACCTTTTCTCCATTAACACCAGCGACAGGACCCGCGGGAACGGGGTTGAGCTGAGACAGGGGAAGTTTAGGCTTGACATCAGGAGGGGGTTCTTCACAGAGAGAGTGGTTGCACACTGGAACAGGCTCCCCAGGGAAGTGGTCACTGCACCGAGCCTGTCTGAATTTAAGAAGAGATTGGACTGTGCGCTTAGTCACATGGTCTGAACTTTTGGGTAGACCTGTGCGGTGTCAAGAGTTGGACTTGATGATCCTTAAGGGTCCCTTCCAACTCAGGATATTCTATGATTCTATGATTCTATATAATCAGTTGCAGGTAAGAGATACAGTTCTCTCAAGAGTTCTCATTTCTCCAGACAAATCCAGTGTTTTGTTGCCAAAGAAGCAGTGTTTCTACCCAAAGGTTACAAATCAACAGTGTTTAAAGACCAGTGATTGGTTAAAAATATTTTATTTTACTACTTATCTTATCAAATGTTACATTGGGCATTCACAATCAATTATAATTGCAATTAGCAGTCTAAATACAGCAAGGACTGTCCTTACCGTGATGCTTCTTCAAAAATGATAACTGCTAATTTTTTCTGCATTGAAGTGTAGATCCTGAATCTTGAGGCAGATGTGCTTTATTATTCTGCAAACCTAGAAAATCATGACTAGGTCAATTTTGGAATCTGTAAAAAAGTCCCTGCTGACAAACAGTGTCTGAAAAGCAGTTTTGATATTCTCTAAACAGTGTATGAACCATTAGATATCCTTTCACTTAGGATCAGCACGTTTTAAAAAATTGAGAGGGACAGATTTATTTGGTCATAGACACATTTCATCCTATGTCTACTGGCTTTTCCTTCAACTGTTCAATCTTCTTTCTTAAATCAATGTTTTGATATTTTATGTACTTTTATGTAACTTGTCCTGTGTCATGTTACGATGCATTTCAAAAGACCTGCGAAATAAAAATTCATGTCTAGCTTAGAAACCATGCAATAAATGTCAACACAACTGCCAGAAAACTCCAGCTTCCATTTAAGCCCATTCTCCGTATTATTTCCTAATAGTTTTCAAACATTTCATAAGTGACTTGGACATTGTCTTTTAATGTCACCTTAACTACAGAACAGCACATGTAAAATTATCAAGTAGGTTAAATCAACAGTCCTTAAGGTAATACTCAGTGCCTTAAAAGTAGGTATTTGCACTTTTACATGGCACCTGAAACTTACAACTACATTTCACTGCCAAGCATTGTTATTATTTTTTTTTGTATGCCAAAATAATAAGAGGAATAATTAAACATTGTAATAAAAATTCTTCTATGCACATGCAATATTTATTAACACTTAAAAATCAGTCTGATGGGGACCAGGATATACCTTCATCACTTCTATTTAAAATTCCTTTTTTCAGCTATAGGCTCCACTGCAGTGTTAAAATACCATGAAGCAAGCCAACTGGACAATAGACAACGTAGAATACGCTACTTTAACTGAAGTGAGAGTTGGCAGAACAAGAAGAAACTTTGAGAGGTTCTACAACTATTTCCCAGTTGTTACAACAAACTTAAAGGTCATTATACACAGGTGAAGAAGGAACTGAAACAGCTGAGACACGCCTAATTCCACTAACGTTCCCCAGGAGCCAATGAGAACTCGGTCCCAGTGAGCCCCAGTGTTCATATCCACACTTAGCACAGCACAGCCATTGCTCTGGGACCATGGGACCAGACTGCTCTCCAGGACACAGCTGGGTTTCTTATGAGAAGGATTTGTTCTGCCCTCTGACAGAAATGCAGATTCAAAGTTGCCCCAGCAGGACATCCTGAGAGAAAACTAAAGCTCAGTCTGTTGCAATGATTTATTTTTTATCTATTTATTTTCTTTTTAAAGCTGAAGACAACACGATTCTCCAATTTACACACATTTTGGGTAAATCAACCACCTTTGATTCTTGAGAAGCTGTTCCTAACACAAAGGCGTAAGTAGGAGAGAAGTGGGGTTGATTATCCTAAATCCCTGAGAAAGCCGCTTGCACATTAAGAGTTTGAAAGCTTGAAAGCTTTTCCAGTAGGCTGTCCCTCAGCCTACCATAATGATCAAAAACTTACGAAAAACATTTTAGATAAAATATGTTTGTCAGCAGCTGTAGCCTGTAGCCCATTTTTCTTCCCCCCAACAGACTATACTTAGGTGATTAACTAAAAATACATTTCAGATTCCTTCTGTTTAAAAGAGTTTACCTTTCATCAGAGTTCGAAGCTTCCTGAGTGTAATCCATTGAATTCAAAGTACTGTCATAATGTTAACAGATCCCAAAAGCCCAAAAAGCCAAACTTCTATGTTAT